TAACCGGGTGTTGTCGTTGTTGATGCTGTAAACAGGAAGGATCTTCAGTAGCGGCCTGTCTTTGACTGAAGACTCTCTGATGAAGAGGAGGCTCACTGTTGTCCATCATCTTCTTCGTCTCTGTGAAATCATCTCCAGAGGTTCTAGAGGAGTTCCTAGAATAGAGCCGACCTTCTTTATCAGCTGGTTGAGCTTCTTTCATAACCCTCCTCCCTTTAACATCCCAGTCTTCTTTAAATCTCTGTCTGGTCGTACGGTCAGAAAGCCTGGCAGAGAGACGCAGGAGTCAGAGATATGATCCTGCAGCCATGTTTCAGTTAAACTCAGAATGCTGCATTGCTGATATTCTGACTGGGTCCTTTCTAAGGCTTGGAGTTATTTTATCTTGTTTCCTGCAGATCTCACATTACCCATAATGATTAATGGAAAAAATGGCAGAACTTCAAATATGTTTGATTTTCTCCTGACCTTAAGCCGGGCAAACACAGAACAATTTTTTGAACTATTCGGACCGATTCTCTGGTCTTGCAAGAATTTTTTTCCGATTGGGCCGACTTTCAGCCTGATCGTGGGTCCTGCGTGGTTTAGTACACATGTGTGTTGGTGGGTAAATCCTGCTGTTGCAGCTATGAGCCAATTTATCAGAACCTCGATCACTGAGCATGCACAAAGAAGGGAGTTCTTCTTCTTCTTCTTCCAGATTAACGAGTCCGACCAACGCCATCTCTTGGAGCTGAGTCCGATGTGAGTTTTGGACGTACAGTGTGAGCAGGTAGATCGCATCAGAGCCTTGGGTTGGACAGTGTGAGAACAAACATCGTGAGCTGTGAACTTTAAACCCTGCGGTTTTGTCGTACAGTTTGAGTTGTAGCTGCGTGCAACGATTGAAAAAATGGCAGTGTATGCCCGACTTTAGACACGCTTTGTGTTGATTGACCTTGTTGAAGAGCTTCTCATTGCATCAGCTGACAGATTTGGTTTTGGGTCCATGCTTCCTGTCAGTCACCCTGATTCAACAGCTCATTAGGTTTCTGCATTCACTGCAAAGTCATCTGCAGAACTAGAGCTGAAGTATTTGTTCTAGACATGCAACACTGAGGCTTTATTTAATCTTTTCTTGTACCAGGATTTGTAGAAAAGCTTCATGTTTGGAGGTTTTTATTATTCTGTGAAATGAAACAAGAAGTTTTATTTTTATTAGCCTTGGATAGCATTATTGACGAGTCATTTTTGGAACAGAAAACATTTTTAAAAGCTTATTGGACTCTAGTTGTCATAGAAGAAATCCCTGGTTCCTCGTAGCACATTAAATCAGTCAATGCAAAGCTGCCAAACTGGTTGTTGGAAGGTCTTTTCTTTACAGTGTGGTAGACTGTACACTGGTCTGGGTTTGCGCTGGCAGGCTGGATGGGAATAACATGCTGTAACATTAGCCTGCTGGCTCCAACATTATGTAACCTGCAGTAAGGCCTAAATTTAGTCCTTCTCCAGGAGACATTGCTCTTTAGAAGTTAGTGTTTCACCCAATGCTCAGGATTCCCTCCTCCTCTATTTTCCTGACAAGGCACCAAGCAGCCTGACGTCAGACATCAAGCAGGACATTCTGTAAAAAGCAGCATGAGGATGAAAACCTGGATTTTCCAGTTCTTCTGAAAGGCTCTTCCTGCAGTTGGAGTGATGTTGGAGTGAGCAGCGTGTTGTTGGCTGATGGAATGAGGAGCGCAGCCTTGGATGGAACCTTTCTGCTCTGCTCTATAATCCCATTAGGCCCCTCTCTGGCCTTCCAGCAGCAGACAGGACTCCCACTCAGCAGGCTGGAAAGGTTGCATCCGGATGAGGAGCTGAAAAGCTGCATCAATTAGCACTCACACACATTATTGGTGCTAACAGCTATAGAAGCACCGCTGGGATCGATTTTAGAAGGCTGTTAGATATCATCTATTTTCCTTCTAAATGCCAAACAAAATGTTTTTATTCCTAATCTGATGTTTTTGGAATCTCCGGTTTGAACTCAGGAGATCAGTGTCTCTGCTGTGAGGGAAGGAAACATGCTCCAACATGTACCAGCTGTGTGTCATGACTGCAAAACAAAAACAGTTTGTTGGGGGTGGGGGTGGGGGGGTGAGAAGGTGCACATTTCTGATTGGCTTGTCTGAAAGCAGGCTTTTAGCAGGAATATTTCATAGGGTGTGTTTAGCCTCTGAAATTTTTATTTCCTGCATTTTGAGTTGGAATTAAAAAAAAGAAACTCCAAAATAATCCTATAATTATCAAGCATTCCATGAGTTCTCATTAACTTTTCAAAGTTCAAGCTTACCTGCTTCAGTTCAATTCTATTCAGTCTATTTCTATTTCAGGTCACTTTCCAGTTCAACCAGATCATCCAGTCAGATTGATTCAAAGTTTTCTATCTAAGGAAAACCAGCTGATTGCATCGACTCATTGACTCTTCA